AAAAACTGTAATGAACCCAGTCTGGAAGAATACTCGTCAAATGTCGAAGTACAAGGTAACTCAACGCTGAACAAAAAAAAAAAAAAACCAGTTTCATGTCAGAATTCCTAAGCAAACTTGAGTTAAAAGTCGAAAACTAAAAAAAACTTTAAAAGAGACTTTAAAAAGCAACGAATTATTAATAATTCATGACTTGGGTATTAGTAATAAATTATTATAGAGGTAGACCATGTCCGGAACCCCCAAAAAAACAAGAACGGGCCTGAAAAAAACCCAAATCAATTTTGGGGGCTGGGCTCCTCAGTGGGGAGGGTCCTGGACCGTTTTTGTCTTTTGTTTTTTTTTGTTGAGATTTGGCAGATCTGGACCTTCCTGACGGACGTCTGGAGTCCGGACTGAATCCAGATCGTCTGGACGGCGGTCCAGACGTCTGGATTGTAGCCATGCTTCACTGTCTTTAGTCCTTGATTTTCTTCCCCTGTTGCAGTCACGGTTCCTTATTTTTCCTTCCTTATGTGCCCTTATGCATGAATGCATATCACAGAACTTTTTTCGGACTGTCCAACACTGCGTACACATCTCACCTTTGACTTTGTCATTTTCGTTATGTTTTCCACTCAGGTCATGACCTTTTGTGTTTTCTGAACTTTTCTCTCTGGTCATTGCAATATGCACCATACTCATTTATGATGCTGGCAAAGCCGCACGGGCCCTTCTTGTACTTAATTATGTTTACCAATAGCATGTAGCATTCAGCCACATGCACTGGGTCACTTACGGCTTGCTTGGTGTTTGTCTCTCGTTTGAATTCACGGATTTGTAGGAGTATCGCACCAGGGGGTTGAGGACATTGGCGGAGGCGGAGGCTTACGACTCGCAGAAGAAAAAGCGAGAAACTGAGGCCAGCTTAAGGAAAGCAAGGGAGAGTGCAGCTTACTTATACAGTGGCAAGAGTAGCCATCGAGCAAATAGGTACCTGAACAGGGAGAGGACCGGGGATGGAACAGCGGGGATACCTGCAGCAGGGGTAGATGCTGGTGGGGCCCTACCTGCAGGAGTTGCGGGTAGTCAACGGGAGTCGCAGAAGTTTGCTCTCAGGGGAGAAAGAGGAGGTAGCGCAGGGTCTGCAGGAACACCCTTGGCCGGACCGTCAACAGGAGGGAATATACCCATGAGTAGCATGGCAGTCCTCTCCAGTTTGAGCAGTAAGGGAGCAAGGAAAGGTGGTGCTATACTTGACGTCAATGCACACTTAGGAGCAGATCTTCTCTCAGAAAAGGTAATCTATCGGCGCATCAACACCTCAACTTCCTGACGGGCATTTGTCTCCTCCTTATCATCACTGCAGACCTGACTCCCCACCAGTCAGTGAACATGAACAACCAGATGCAGTTGGTTTGTTTTTCCAGCTTCTGGTTCCTTCTCCTTCTCAGTATTCGTGAGCTTAAGGGATCGTTGCTAGCACACAGCTGCATTTCAAAGTATTTGAGCAGTAACTCTCTCTCTCTCTCTCTCTCTCTCTCTCTCTCTCTCTCGTCCCTTGTATCGCTCAGCCTTACTCTCTCTCTCTCTCTCTCTCTCTCTCTCTCTCTCTCTCTCTCTCTCTCTCTCTCTCTCTCTCTCTCTCTCTCTCTCT